CCCCCCTATCTCCCTCCACTCCTCTGCTGCAGTGGTACCGAAGAGACCAGCGAGTGTGAAAATGAGGGAAATGATGGGTTTTGAGAAAATCGACTGATATGGAACTGACTGATAGTGTACCTAATTGAGGTGCTTAGAAGACAAGGCGCATGACTGCAGATTTTAAAATAAATGAGATATTAATGGTTTCAAGTGCAACAAAATTCAAGGAATTTTACAAGAAATTACGCTGACCAGTTTTCCGAAGTAAAATAAAGTAGGACAGGAAATCTGCAACATCGGGGATGGAGATACGTGGTTTCGCACTAAGGCCATCGATATAAGTGATTTTTTATGCAACTTCACGAAATTGTTCAAACATGATCATAAATTTTAACGTTAAGTAAACTTTGAAATTTTATCTCTCTGCCTCCAACTAACCACGGCAAAACATCACAAGTCGTATATTTTGATGTTCTTACTTCTACGATTTCTAGATGCATCATCATCAACCCTTTTTTGAAACATATATAGGGGCTTGAAGGACAAGGCGCATAAGTGATGTTTTTTAAAAAATTGAGATATTCATGAACTCGACTGAAACTAGTTTGAAAGTTATTCTGAGGAAAATTCAAAGAAAAAATCCAACTTTAAAGCATCAAAAAGTGAGCTTCCTTTCCACCATAAGATGCCATGTAATTTAGAAACTTAAAGCACGTATTTCTGAAAATAGCAAAAACTGCACTTACGCGCCTTGTCCTCCAAACCTCTCAATTGTAAATTAAAAATTTAAAAGTTTTTGAAGGTTTTTTCGAACGGCAGAAGCTACAAGAGCGGTGATTCCGGCGTATTCTCCGACGTAGCACGACAGCAGGGTCGAAAAACTTTAAACGGCCCGAACGCGGGGCCCGAAAGGGGTGGGCCCGGGCGGGGTGCGGGGGCAGCCATTTGTTGCGATGATAAACGATAAAAAAAGACGAGCGGAAAAAAAAACGCTGTAAAAATATTACAAACCAACGTTGTTTACATTCGTCGCGGTGATTGAGCGGTATAACTGCATCATAAGTGCACTTTTTTATTTTCTTTTCCTTTTTAAACACCGGGTGTCGTTTCGCTCGGATGTCGCGCCCGGCCGCATCCCCGACGGCGGGAGGAGGGGGGTTGTTTACCCCTTTGTCGCGCTCGGCAGCCCGTAATCAATTTCGAGGGAAGGGGTTGGTTGGCGAAACGCCGAGGCATGCGGCAGCCGAGGGTCGCGAATCAAGGGTTGCAACCCGAATTAATACCCCCCATTAACAAGTCTGATTAGCTTGCATATCGCCCCGCTCGGCAGATGCGCTTTCGCTTTCATTTTTCATTTTTTAAAAGCGCACCCTCCCGGGCGCGTGTTTTTTTAAAGGGTTGCCGGGCCGGCGGTTGTTCCGTTTTTTCAACCCCTTCGGCCCCGACGGCCAATCGGCTCGGTGAATAAATTAATTGGGAGCACGTGAGCGCGGTGAAGGGGTTGTTTTCGGCGTCTATGGCTTTAATTTTTATTCAAATCCGACGCTGGCAGCCAATCAGCTTCCAGCATGCAAATCGGGGCAGAGCAAAATGGCGTCTGTTGTACCGTGCATAATAACGGATACCTGTAAGGTTTACCAATCGGAATTGAATATGCATTATGCAGGGATGATAAAAAAGGGAAGGGTTAGCTTGCACCAACCCTCTTCGGAGAATATGATGCCGTAATGAGTATATCTATTTCTTCTTTTCCTTTTTGCCATCTCACTTTCCAATGGATAAACTTTCTGATTGTCACGTATAAATGCATCTGTTATGATAAAAACTACAAGGTCTACGATATGATCATTTTTATGAGGAAAGTTGTTTTGTTAATCCACATATTTTATCTGTGTATTATGATGAAAATAATGCTACTAGGCGAAAAGTGCATTCTATTCCGGCACATTGTTAATGGGAAAGCATAGCAATGATTATTGTTACTTGTATGAACAATGTTTTGGAATAAAATGTATCTTTAGAAAATGGGATTTTTTTTTCATCATGATCATTATAATCAGTATAACTGGTTAATATGGTTAGTAGAAATGTGAAACACAAAACAATTAAACGCCGGGAATTCTTTTGCGCAGGCTGCGGATATCTCTTGAAGCTCGATTGAAACCTAAGGATCAGAAATCTGATTCTGAGGCTACAAAACTTTTCTGAAATTTTGTTCAAAGAGGCCCGGGCCGTTCGTCAGGCTCCAACGGAAGGGGGTGTCGAGAGAAAGGGGGTAGGCGGGTAAAGAGGGAGGGTGTTGTAAATTATGCAAGATTATAAATTGGAGCCTAGAGGGGGCGAATTAGGAGTTAGGGACTCGGTTCGGGTGGAAGCCGGACTACGTCTGATCATTCGCCGGGGGTGAGAGGGGGTGGGAAGGGTGAGGGGTGGAGAGGGGCGGGGGGCTGCATCTGGGAACTGACATCTGCAGACCGATTCGTGGCCGGAATATTTAAAATCCGAAATAGCTCCGGCTTTCGTTTTTGTTTTTGCATTCTGAACTCTCCCGTCACACAATGGGCAGGAAACTGACTGAATTCGCCTTTAAAAAAAGTTACAGGAAACGCGCGTATCACCTGTTAATTGAAGGTAAAGATTAGGTTGCTCATGTTTGGTAGCCTTAAGTTTTGAAAACTATGCGCTGATGTCGTACATTTCAAAAAAGGAAAAATATAAACCGAGAAGATTTGCAAAACATAAATTTAAATTGAGGGAGATGGAAAAAATACCCTGGGAGAACACGGTGATGTAATGGCTTTGAATGAGGAAAGAAAATATTGGAAAATTGTAAAATGTGCACTTCATAACAACTTAGTGACTCCTTGTTAGGACAATAGCTGGTGCGTATGTAGTTACAAAGTAATCGTGCAAAGAATAAAGCGCCTGGTTACAAGAGGAGTAGGCAACCAAATTGGAGCATGGCTGTGCATAATTTTGGCCTATTCTTTACTTCGAAGGCGCATACTTCATATTATACTCTGATGTTACATCTGATCAATCCTGATGAATTTGTCAAGTAATTAAAACTTCAGTCTGGTAAAAAAGCTTAATTCAAAAGTCTCTTAAGGTAGGAGATCTCCCGTTTCTCCGCTATGATGGCATTACGACAGACCTGAACAAAAAAGAGGTCACTTTTTTCCAAAAAGAATCGGATTTATCTTTATTAGTTGAAACATTGATCAAATTTACACTAAAATTTGGCTTATTCACAGAGAGTGAATTCCACTTAAAATTTTGGTTAACACGGTAAGTAAAACACAAAATAACCCGAGCTTTCTGCTGACTCTGGGATTTCCCTGTCTCTACATTGTTTTCTGCGCTAAATTCACTGCAAACTTTACCAAAATCAACGCAAAATTGGGGTGCTTTATGTCTTACTTCCTATGTTAACCAAGAGTAACATAAGAACAAAATTGATTTTATCAGTGTTGGTTTTACTGTCCAGAAGTTGTTCTATAAAGCCATCTGTGCGGTTTGGAGTGGTATCTGCACGTCTCTCAAGCTCTGATTGGTCGAAAATATGCGAAAACATTTCGCCCTCAAGTCCACTGAACGGCAGCCGCATAGGGCATAGAGCCGCATTCGCTTGAGACCATTACTACTGCAGTCAAGGAGCTTTGCTCTTGCCTATAAAACGAACTAAAAAATCGAAGCAGAGTTCTTTTTTGTACTTCATGTCTGAAGCATCGACCTCTTCCGCATTTTCAGAGAAAAAATGGAAGGAAAAAACAACCCCACGGAGACCACGATGAAATCATCGTTCGAACAAGAGCTGACGACTCGAATCGAAACGTTTATTCACTCGACAAAGCGATGGCTACCGCGGTGAGGATCCCATATCTCATTCCATCGCTCGGCGTATGAATAGGGACAAAAGGGGTTGAAACGACAAAAAACGCGGTTTCAATGAGTCGACACTGGGGGTGTCAAAAACGAATCAAAGTCAAATGAATCACTATCAGATTGGACACAAAGTCCTGGAGCCCTGAAATCAGTATTTTAATTGATAGAAAACGGGCTGATTACCAGCCATTTCTTGATGACAGCCCCGCAAAGGGACGGGCGGGACAGGTCACCCGCTTGAGATTATAGGGGCGCGTTGGTGCCAAGTTAGACATAGATTACCAAAAAAACCTAATTTTGGGTCTTTGAGAGGGTATGTGGGTTCTCAATTGAGCCGTGACCATTAGAGAAAACCATTCAAAATGAAACCGATTGTAATCATAACTTTTACTCTTTTGGTATATTAAATTGACTAGGTCAAGTTATGAGGAACATACCTTCAATTTCCAAAAAAGTTGATCAAGTTTTAAATAAAAATGAATTTTCCGTGTAATAACACTGCCTCATTCTTATAGAGGCACGCTCACATTTAAATCAGTGTTTCGCCTCATTCTTCAAACTGAGTAATAAGAGTAAATCAACACTAGCCTAGGAATTAAAATTTTCATTAAGTTCCTGTATTTTTATTTTTTATGAATTAAAAATCACTAATTTTATTTAATTATAATTTTTGAATTTAATTTACCTCGTTTAATTGCTTATCCTCTGGCAAATAAAACTGTTTAAAGCAAAGATTTAGGTCATATTAATTAATATAACAATTCTTAATCGAATCAATCAATTTATGTAATACCTGGATATTCAAAACATGATTTTACATACGACCTACGTCGTGCTACTCCACGTCAAGGAGTGAAACGGCAACGTCACTCGGGGGTGTCGACAAGACCATCAACAGCAATTATTTACCCTCCGCGGGGCGAGGGGTGAGGGCGCGGGCACTCGCTGAGGGGGAGGGGGGGGGCACTCGCGGCTCGCGACCCGCTCAATCAGGGACAATCAACTGGTATCCCATAAAAAAAGGGCCGGGAAAATGGTAAAAAGAGAGCGAGGCTAGTTACCCTTTCATGATGTCCCGCGTCCCGCCCGCCGGGACGTTTTCATGCTTCTGTGGCCTTACAAATTGTGGGCGCGGGGGTGGAGGGTGGGAGAGGGGTGGGATTCCTCCCACGCTGCGCGCCCGCCCCTGACGACGGGGTAATTTGCATAGTTACCGAGGGAGGGTGTGCGTGTGTGCGCGGGTCTGTAGATGAAGGAGCTTTTTAAGTCCATTACGCTATTACGCGATGGCACTCGACCTCTGAGCCTCTTGTTCCTCTCCTCGTCTCCCATTTCAAAACATGAATCTGCGAGGATATTTATCTATGAAAGGGTGTTTTAAATTTCTGAGGGATTTTTATGCCTCTCCTTTGTTTTTTTATTATTTTCTTAATTTCATGCAGCAAGGCTAATCTTGTTAAGTCATATCTAATAGACGCGATAGTGGAGAATTACAAGAAATTATTATTTTTCCTCTAAAATTGTACGCTGCAATTTTCAATGAAAAGTTTGCACGAATAAGTTTTACTGCTTCATCTGAGAGTGCATTATGAGCAAAGTTTGCAGTATTTTTTATAATTTTTTTCCGATGCGGGAAATGATAGAAAAATAGATTTAAGAGTTAGAAAATGTACCGCCTTATGGGACGTCATCAGGTGGAATTTCCTGTTGAAACAAATGCATTCTAGCAGATTAGATCATTTGCTTATATCTCCTCCAATAGGTAATTGTTCAATTTAGAAACCAAGGATATTCTCAACCGATCTGCTCGATATTCCTAGAGGGGAGTTGACTTATCAACACTTGGATTGCTTGTAATAAAATCATATGGGTGAAAACAGAAGAGAAGGGGTGGAGGAGAAGAGAAAGAGGTTTTTCTATCCTTTCCCGAATGGATGCACTACGAGAACGGGGGAGGAGAGTGAAGGAGATATGAAGAGAAAGAGAGAAAGAGGGAAAACGAGAGAAACGGGTTGGAAAACGGCGGAAACCGAAGCTGTTTTTTAATAGGATTAAGAGAGTCCCGGTAAGCGGTGAGATGGTAATGCGGCGACCGCGATGACTGTTGACTAGCTGCGCTGACTGGTGGAAATCGGTGATCGGTGGCCGGGCACCGAGTTTAACACTCCACCAACTCCCTAATTAGCAATTACACCTTGGTCGCCTAATCATATTACACCTTCACGGAGCTGTCAAATGGTGCAAAGAAGTTACACTACTTAAAGAAAAGAAATGAAAAATAGGGGATTACTGATTGAAAATTATCCGCAAGATGAGCTTATCTGCTGATTAGGTGGATGATTATTCCCTACAATGATCTCGTCAAAAAACGACTTTTTTTAGAAACTAACTAACTCTAATACACCTTTTTGATTATTTTTATTTTTAATTTACACCTGGATTGGTTCATAAATTAAAATTATTTTCTTGTCAAGTTTGGGTTGAATTTTAGTTTTATTCGATATCCTCATTGAGTTCTGATTGGGTATATCTCATGAACAAAATACAATAAAATAAAAATTTAAGTTTTTAATCGCCGTGAATGTATTTCAGCAACAAAACTGGAAGAGTTCTCAAAATCCAAATTTTTGGGAGGAGAGACCTCAGCTACAGCTCTGCTTAAGGATCTCTTGGAGATCTACTAGGTACAGGCAGGATTGCTGCTTCACTGGCTTGCATATGACGTGAAAATACTTTACTAAAAGACATTGGCTTAAACCTAATTAGTTTTGACTTACACGTTTTTAACGGCGTCATCTACTGGGAAAAATCATTTAAATATTTCTAGTTACGGTTTGAAGAAAAGAAATCCCCCAGAAACAAGATCCTCTGAGGCACTATATGAAGTTCCAAATTCAATCGCGCAACTTGACATCGCTGTCGCGGGCACTTCTGAATGAGCGGCTTATAATCGTGTGGGTGTCGTTTTTATGCTCCAATCCTTGCTTCGGTGACTTCGATACTTTTTTTTTAACACCCGTTCATTATGCCCCCTCCCTTCCCCCTTTTTCTCGTGCCTAAGAGGATGGACCCTTACATTGTCTTTCTTTTTCTCATTCTCGGGTTGCTTTCCGCGCCGTCGCTATTGCCCGTGGATCTTTATCTATGGATAGACAAAGTTTGAACTTGAGACTATATTGCAATTCCTACCAATTAATTCTTATGTTGTTAGATATATGTACAGAGGAAACAACACTGGAAAAAAACACATTGGATCTAGAGTCCAGACTCTTAAAAACATCGACAAGAAAAAGTACTCTTGATTCAATCAGAATCTAGCTTAAATCAAGAACCAAGCCTCTTAAATTTAAGCTGATTTCGTTTTGATTCAAGCAAAAATCCGATTGAATCAAGAGTATTTTTTCTTGCCAATGTTTTCAAGAGTCTGGACTCTAGATCCAATGTGTTTTTTTTTTCCCAGTGAAATTGCACTACGTAGGCACTTGTCCGCGACGCATTTTGTTTTATTTTTTTTTTGAAGGATTTACTAAGAGTAATGAGTGAGTCAATAATCCTTCGAGTGATACAGGAAACGATAGTAACTTTGCTAATTTATAAATCTTAATTTCTGAAAAGCATCAGAAAAGCTCTTTCTCTCGTCGTTCTTCAAATCTTAATCCCGCTTGGATCCTTCTCATTGTTCCACGCAGCTTCCCTCTCCTATTTTCAGCGTCCTCGGTGGAGCGTGACACTGCTTCGATTAGCCTAATCCGAAACGCCAGCTCACTTTCTGAGCATACCCGTGCTAAGATTCATTAGTAGAAACTCTCAAATCATTTAACGAATCCATCTAATAGCTAGTTCACTCGTGGACAAATTTAGGGAATTTTACCAGACGCTCCTGAAATCAGATTTCATTTTATTTTTCAGGCCTTGATCTCATAATTTTTTTTTTGTACGAGTGGACTGGAATATCCCTTGAAATTTGGACCGGTAAACACCAATGAATCAAGTCGAGTTTCGGAACAAAATGAGTTGGGAATAGTTTTGGATTCAATCCGTCGTAAATCTCCTTTCCAAAATTTTAAGTCGAGAAAAATGTGTTGAACGTGAGAATTGTTCTTAAACTGAGTCCTTAAACTTACTCTCGCGGCAGAATAAAACTTCAAACCTCTTCTTCTTGATTTAAACATGATGCGATTTGGTGTGTTTTTGATACCCTCGTTGCCTCGGTCTAATTACGCACAATGCAAATTAGGAGACTTTAACGAAAGGTAAGGAAAATATGCCGTGTACGCGCACTGCGGATTTAACACGAGAACAGAAGCAAAAATAAACTTACCATTATGAACAGGAGATAAGTTGTCAGTTCTTCTAATTGGCTCGCCACCTGGAAAAAACAAAAATCAGAAATTAATATTCATCTAATTTTTGAAGAAAGCATCATTACGCACTCCAATTTCCTGATTATTCTTTCTTTGTCATAGGCATATCAGGAGTTCCACTGGGCCGTTTCACACGATGTATACAGTTATCAGTGGCGCATAACTTTGGCACGGAAAAAACATTGTATGGTTCATTCCTGGAAATGGGGCATGAGGGGGTGGGGGGTGGGGGTAAAATGGCGTATTCTATTCCTCGATAGGGGCAGCTCTTATTGAGTAAGCATGGTACCGACCGAAAACTAGCTATCTAACTGTTCAAGTCTGTTTTTTCCTGTAAAGGTAAGTTTAGTGTTTTTTACATTTTCAAAACATCAATATTAAGTATGGGGTGCGAAGCGTCCAATGAGGATGAGGCCGCGTGGCAGCGAAGGGACAGACCCCAGACCCACTGGATTCTAGAATCGCCATTAAATGATATTGATCAATAAATAGCAATGCATGATACGCACCGGGAAAAAAGGCTGCTTTAAATATTCTGGATGTGAAAAAGTGTGCGACAACTCACAAAACGCTGAATTTGGTAACCGCTACAACAAGATGTAAAACTAACTATTGCGGCAGTCAATTCAGCGTTTAGTGAGTTGTCGTACAATTTTTACATCTAGAATGTTAAATCAGCATCCTTTTTTTTTCGGTGCGGGACTTTATCGATTAGAATGGATGGATAACGATTCGAGAATCGATCCCGCCGAACATGCATATGCAGGAAAATGTATCGACAGCATCATTTTTTTTTTTTCGATGCGGGACTTTATCGATTAGAATGGATGGATGACGATTCGAGAATCGATCCCGTCGAACATGCATATGCAGGAAAATGTATCGACAGCATCATTTTTTTTTCGATGCGGGACTTTATCGATTAGAATGGATGGATAAAGATTCGAGAATCGATCCCGCCGAACATGCATATGCAGGAAAATGTATCGACAGCATCATTTTTTTTTTCGATGCGGGACTTTATCGATTAGAATGGATGGATACAGATTCGAGAATCGATCCCGCCGAATATGCATATGCAGGAAAATGTATCGACAGCATCATTTTTTTTTTCGATGCGGGACTTTATCGATTAGAATGGATGGATACAGATTCGAGAATCGATCCCGTCGAACATGCATATGCAAGAAAATGTATCGACACCCATTACAGAGACGTATCTCTCCGGGAGTAAACATCGACGGGCATAGAGGGATAAGAGGGGGGGAGGAGATGAGCGGAGGTCCGAAGGGACTCGTGAGGTGGTCAGCGCGTCCCCGCGGCCGTCCCTTCCTCGCTCTCCATAATGAATGAGCCCAATCAGCGGGTGAATCACCATCCCTGGATCCCGGACCCAGACCAACACCCCCTCAACACTTCCGCTCGCGGTTGCCCGATTGAGGACCGATTTTCGGGAAACATGCAAATTCAAAGATATTTAGTTCAGGGAAAACAGGCACAATACTTTATAAACATTGCACCGAAAATCTATGCAATAAGAGGTGAACGTTAATTCCTGAGGTAAAAACCCTATATTCCGCTGAATGATGATTGATTAGCTTTCATACTATATTAAATACATAAAACCCGTTTTTTGTGTGTATATCTATCTCGATTAACTATCACATTGGTCGTCTGATTAACCAACCAGACAAGGTCATTGAAAAATCCCGGGTACTTTAAAGTCCAAGAAATCGGGATAAACAAATAAGCAAATTTTTTAGTAAAAAAAAAATCAAATAAAATTCGCTTAATGATGACCGTCCCATGATTTAAAATGTAATCACATTCAAATTTCCTTTCATTTTGTACGATTCTTCTACGGCGCATGTTTCAACTCGCCGATATAACACTACCAAGCTATATGAATTGGTGTTTTCGCTTCTGCTTAAAAAGGAGGAACTAGAACTGACCGTCGTTGACGGATACATTTGTTTAAGACTAAAAATTAAGTTCAGAGGACCTTAGTTCTCATTGTTGGCATTGTCAATTTGAAAAAATAAACTATCTGTAAACATTTCTCTTTTTACTTTTAGACAGTGTTTTGTGAGGAAATTAATCACATACTATTTTCGTATTTCTTACGTTATGAATAGTTATGATTAATTAAAGTCATAACTTCATGAAAGACCCATACACAGAAGAGTATGGGTATGACCCTCATGAGTGCAAAAAAAAAAAAACCGAATTTGTTATTCGAATTGGCAGAGAAGCGTTTAAGGATTCACTGATAAGACGGGGCATGTTTTATCTGCGGATGAATATTAATTCTGCTGCGGCGGGAAAAATACCTCGCCGGCCAGGGTCTAGGGGATGGATACCCTCACCGTCCCTGAGGGACTCTAAACGAATAAATAGTGATCCTTGAGTAGAAAAATAGGGCACCAGCGGCTAAGATGGCTCGTTTATCACCCTCGCAAGTCGACACGGGCTCATTTGAATGCCCGCGACGTGACGCTAACGCCATCTATCCGGCATCACGATAGCTACTCCAAGTCTAGGATTTTGTGGTAGGTTTCAAACCGAAAGCAACCGTATGCCCATTGCAGCTAGTGTCCCTTTATAGTGAGATTTGAAACAACGCGGATCATGGATGTTAGTTACAAACGAGAATAAAAATCACAGAAATTGAATGTTTTCCATAATTTTTGATCAACTCTCATTATAAAGGGACTCTGATTGCAACCACCCGCTTCCTCTGATAACATCCCTCCATACCCCTTTTGTCGTCTTTGTCTATGGCTTTGTCTATTAATTTCAACAACCAGCCCGCTTCTTTGTCTATAGCTTTGTCTAGCAATTTCAACAACCAGCCCGCTTCTTTTTTTAAAGCTTTGTCTATCAATTTCAACAACCAGCCCGCTTCTTTGTCTACAGCTTTGTCTACCAATTTTAACAATCAGCCCGCCAGCCGTAACAAAGAGGCGAGTAAAGCTTATCTTCATATCTCTGGGGCGCAACACAGCGAAGTTCGGCGCTAAGCTTTTTTCTCAGGACCGCAATTATTACACTCACGAGTGTTGGAGCGATAAAAGAACATGCTTTTCAACGCCAACGGTTGTTAGAGAGCCCGCTGGCAATGAAGTCGTAGTTGTACGCACCGTGAAAGAAGGCGAAGCGGATCTTGGCGAGCGACTGCGCCCTCGGTTTTACATGTGTCGCCCCGCGCCGCGCCCGTGGGCCCGTGGGGCCCCGAGCCCCGACACAGGCGGCCGGGGCTCCCGCGGTGGTCGTGGGCCCCCCTCTGCCTCGCCCTCATGGGGTGGGCCCCCTCGTTCGCCGCCGAGAAGGAATCACGCTAAAATGGCATAATTCACTTGATCTCCTTAGCCGCCGCCTTCGCCGCCAAACCGATCCGCAAACCCCGACTAAATCCACCGAGTTTATCGGAAATAGATACAAATTTTCACGGAGTAGCCCGAGACAATGGTAACAGAAGAAAAACATAGGGGAAAAACGGGAAACAGCACTGGAAAAAAAAAAAAAAACACATTGGATCTAAAGTCCAGACTTTTGAAAACATTGACAAGAAAAAGTACTCTTGATTCAATCAGATTTCAGCTCAAATCAAAAGGAAATCCGCTCAAATTAAGAGGCTTGGTCCTTGATTTAAACAAAAATCTGATTGAATCGAGAGTATTTTTTCTTGTCGATGTTTTTAAGAGTCTGGACTCTAGATCCAATGTGTTTTTTTTCCAGTGAGGGCTAAAATACGACAATGAAAACCCCGAGACATTTTGACTCAAAACTGAGTAGTTTTCAGTTGGAAAATGAATTAAAACTTAAAAAGTATCGAAGAAAAAACCTGAGACCGCGATTTCGATCACCGTCTTTCGCAATCTTTCTTTCTTCCCGATATTTTTTAATTTTTAATTTATTTTCCAAAAAATGACTCAGTTCTGAGTTGAAACGTCTCGGGATTTTTATTCTTGTATTTTAGACTTGTTTCCAGTTTCCACCCTTGCTTTTATCCTATTTACTAGAAAAGAACCAACCCATATTGTCGAAAAAACTGAGTTAAGGATGTTTTTGTGTTCCTCGAGTCGTATGTATTCTCCTGCTTAAAACTCAAAATCGAAAAAAAAAATGTGTTTTAAAATTCTTTAACTGAGGAGCACGGAAAACAAGAGAGAGAAAAGAAGTAAAATATGAGAGAGCACTCGGGGAAACCAGAAGTAGTTTCTCGCGGTGTTCGCAGAATCCCAAATGTTAAATTCCACTTTTACACCTAATTTTGCGGGTAATTTAGCTGTTACGAAACGGGCTGCGGTAGGATTTCCCGCCATCTCTTTCCGTCACCTTTTCTCCAAACGACGTCACAACTCTTGATCTGATTGTCTGTGATCGATGACCGATCGCCGATCGTTGAATCCCGATTTTCGCTTATTGATTCCCAATTGTGTTCACTCCGGATGATCCGGCGACGTAATTCGGTTTAGTCCGAGTGCAGACGGCCGCCGTTTCGCGGGTGAAAGTGAGGCCGTTAAAAAATCACAATTAATGCATTTAATGCCGTTCTCGGTGGAAAGTCTGCAATTTGCACCGATGACCGTAAGAACAATGCTGCCGGTTGCGAGAAGTTGGGGGGTGCTAGATGTTGAGGTAAATGGGATTTTCAGCACTGTCTGGGCGCTTCAGTTGGCAGTTCATTATGTGCGGCTGGATCGGCGAGTTACGTCAAAATCCATCGCAATTGGATCAACGTCGGCCTGACAGCTATCGCAATCGGTCTTAATAGCAGCCATTCCAATTCGGAGAGCCCGGGTAAAATTTGAGCGGACTTCGTTCCTCACAATTCTCGGCAGAGGCGCGTTTTTATGATTTTAAGTCAATATTTTCGCAGACGAATTTTGGAGTTAATGCTGATTTTCGTCTTATTTTGTTATACTTTTATTTGCAGTGAATTATGGAGACTTGTACGTAAGAACACCGTTGAGATCGTCAGGGTGGATATTGACATAATTTT